TCAGGTGCTAGGTACTTTTTGATTCTAAGATATTACAAAAACTAATTAATTTTATTTGCATAGCCTTATATATTAAAGAAATAAATATTATAATTTAATTTAAATAGTAACTATAAAAGTACAAGAATTATATAAAATTAAAAAAATAAAATAGCAATACTATAAAAACTTCTTTTTATTTTATAAAAATTATTACTAGAAAAATAATATACAAATATATTATAGTAGAGTTTGGTGACTTATTAAGTAATAAAGTTGTTGTACTCTTAAGCAGTATATTTAAAGTTTGAATCCTACTGATAACAAAATTCAAATATTTTGTTGTGAAATAATTACTGTTTCTTGCCAATTAGTTGGATTTAAGATCTATAATCAAGATTATACCAAATATTTGAAAAAATTATCAGATATTTGTTTAATATATAAGTTATATAAAAGTATGTAAACACTTATACAAAACAAACTCTAAAAAATCTCAAAACAAAAATGACTATAACTTCTTGAACTACTAAGCAAACTTACTTCAGTACTCTAAATAAACTTGCTCTGCTATTTATTTTACATATATCATATAAGTTTTAAAACATTAACTTGCAAACTCATTAAATTAACTATAAAAACTTTTCAAAAATAACAAAATTTACTATATTAAGTCAATTACTTACACTCCTTAATAAAAACTTATTTAGCTCTTCTATATGAATATTTTGATATATAATATATTACAAACAAACTCAAACTTATCAAATGATAATAAACCCTTTTTTATCTCTTCTCTTGCTATTTACTCTAAATTATACTAAGTAGATCTTAGTTCTCACTTAAGACAAATTTGTTTTACTCATCAAGATGAATATTTTGATATATAATATACTACAAACGGACCAAAATTGATAATTTTACATTAAGAAAACTTCAAACTTCTTTGCTAGAAAATACACTTTTAATTCTAAAAATTCACTGGAAATTTTCTGAAATCCTATTGGCTTGCCTAGAAATTTCACTTTTGTGTACCTATTAAAATTTTCTAGAATCCAATAAATTCCAAAAATTCACTCACTAAACTTAAAAAACTTACTGGATATTTCTAGAAAACTCATTAGTCTTTCTAAAATTTCACTACATATATACTATAATCTTAACAAAAAACTTACTATATCTTAATATTCTATTATACAAACCTTATTTAGTACTCTAAGTAAACTTATTTGTAAGATAAAAATACATTTTATATAAAATCTTAAGACAATATCTTTTAAATTTGCTTAAAAATAAACCAACTTTCAACAAATTTCTTCTCTTACGTATAAAATTTACTCAACTAAAATTAAATATATCTTTATATTTTACTAAGTAAATCTTTACTTGATACTTTAAGTAAACTTGATTCTAAGACTAATATATACACAATAGTTAAAATTTTAAATTGATATTTTCTGAATTTATTAAGAAATCTACCAAAATGTCTTATATAATCAAAACTTATTTTTAAATATACTTAACAAAAACTATACTATAACTCAAAAACCAACTAAGACAATCTCTCTTAGTGTTTTAATTAAAAAAAATTTATATTACTTATTCATTAGATTTTATCTTTTATTTTATAATATGTTTCAACCAAATATATCTCAATGCCAATTTCCTCATCACTAGCTTATCATCTACTAGTCTTCTAGCAGTGACTTTCTAATATGAATTTGAACCAACCCCTCGATTGATTCAAACACTTTTTAGTCCTAACAACAAGTGGTCTTTTTCTATTTACTCAGCCAACAATTCAAATAATTAATTTTTTAAAGCTTTTCTTTAAAGATTTTTATTCAGGTTTGATCATCTAGCCAGAAACAGATAATAAACCAGCTTTTAAGAATAACTTTGACCTTCTACTTTATACAATGGCCCTTCAAAAATCTAAATTTATTATGAACTTTATTTGAAATTAAAATTTTCAGATTACTGAATCTATAGATATTCCTCTTGAAATTATTCTTGAAACTCTTAAAAGATCTCTTGTAGCAATTACTACTGTTCTTTTTGAATACTTCAACTATCTAAAAATATTTAACTCTTATCTTTTTATTCCTCCTTATTCTATCAAAAAATAATTTTAAATTATTATTAACTTGGCCAGATTTTATCTTTTTCTTACTAATCGATATCAAACTATCGACTACCAAAAATTTTTTCAAGATCTAAAACTTAAACCAATTTATTTACAAACTTTCTTTCATATTAACCAAATCCAAGATACAAATTTAAATACACCTATATTACAAATTTACAATACCCCTAAATTTCATATTAATATTTCTATTAATATACTTGTATAAAAATTTTTAACAACTTACTGCATTCCTTCTTTTTTTTTATTTTTAACTGAATTTAATAAGTGGTTTCAAAAATTTTTTGAACATTACAAAAAATAATTTAATACTATTAATAAACCAAAAGTTTATATCTATATCAAATCCCAAATAGTGATAACAATGAACAACAAATACAGAAAATTGTTTCTAAAGAAATACATTTCTTCGCTATTTCATCTATTCAAGATCATACAAATGCTGTTATTAAAGCCATATTACACTATATATATATATGTATAGACTCTACCAAATATACAATCCTTTTACCAAACACTACACACAATCTTCACAATTTAACTACTCACTTTTTTAAACTTTCCTTTCAAACCTTACCTGCTTCTAAATATATTTATCCAACTATTGATAATTATTTAATCAACCTCATACTGCTACCTTTCTTACTACTTTTTCTTTTAAAGATCTCTATGAAGTTGCCAACCAAGCAGAACAAAAATTCATTAAACTTAACTAAAAACTTATTGAATCCAATAAATCAAAACTTTTTGAACCAGATTCTAAAACTCAAAGCTCTAAATAGATTTTCTTCTTTTTCTATAGTTATTTTAAAGTATACTTAAAAATAATCGCAACTAATGACCAAATTACTGATCTTAATCTTAAAGAAGTACTTAACAAATTATCTTCAACAACTATAGATCATAAATCTTAGCCAGAATTATTACCTACTATGATATTATCCAAATTTCTAAACCAACTATTGCAAATTTTAAAAGAAATCTCAAAAAATCATATCTTGACCAAGCAAATCAATATATAATCAAAAAGTTCAAGATCACTATTCCTAACATATCATATACAGACTTTGTGGCTACAAATTTTAATACCCAACAACAACAATACTAACAATAACAACAACAACAACAACAACAACAACTGATCAACTCTACTACAAAATCTAAAACTTCTAAAATCACAAACAAAAACAACACAATCCTAACAAATCTACAACAAAATTTAAAATTCTTAACATCAATAAAAGTCTATTTCTAATTTAAAACTTATCTTATACTTTAAACTTTAACACTCTAACTATATACTCTTATACATTCTACTATCTTCCATATACTTTACAACTTTACATATCAAATATAGCCTAGTATTTTTCACTATTTCTTATAATCTTACACTATTAAATACACAAATCTTATAATTTAGTCTTACTTTTAAATTCATTCAATTAAATAGCCTAGTACTTTTTATTATATCTCATAACTTTATACTATTAAATACACAAATCTTATAATTTAACCTTACTTTTAAATTCATTCAACTAAATACTCTATTTACTCTTCATTTATTTTTTCTTAAAAAAATCTAGGTGAATCTTTGACCACTCTAGTAGGTTTAGGTCACAGATAAAATAGTCTGAGCTTTAATTCTTGCATGTAATTTTTACTTTTTATATTTTATATATTAAGGTTAACAACTCTTTGTAGTTACTATAATAAAAACTATTAATAAAGATATGAGCAAGGCCTCACCTTAATACTAAAAAAATAAAAAATAAAAACATGTAAACTGGTATTTTTAGTAAAAACCTATGATAAGTTTTGATAACCATATAAAAACAAAAAACCAAAAAGATAAATGCTTGGCAAGTTCTAAGTAAAAAAATATTACAAACTTTTGGCAGTACTACTGGGATAGAATACATCCAAGGTTAGTACAACTGAATAAGAACTGGGTGTTTGGCAAGAATATCCTACCAACCAGACAGCCATAATATTGACCAGAGGAAAAAGATCTACTAAGTAGATACCAGAGGGCTGGTGTCCCTTTCAGGCTATCTGAATTGATAGTTTGGAAAGATTAACTAGAATGTACCAAAAGTGAAAGGTACCAGATAGACTTGAAGAGAAGTACTAAGGTTTGAGTGAACTCTACAAGGGCAAAAATGGGTAATGGTAGCAGAGATCGAAAGACTGACTGCATGAGTGAAGGTATAAGCTCTATAGACGTTGTAAGCATTCAGTTTTTTAAGACTTTTACTATTAGCAATTTTAAGTGCGCCAAATTACCCAATTTATCTTACATATTCTGAAGCATTTTTTTTGTTTGCTTACTATAAATAAACACCCTTTCTTGTTAGATGCGTATTATTTTGGGACGTACATGGGTGTTATTTTGAAATCTTATTTTAGAGGGCACGCGAAAATACGGTAGATAAAAATGAAAATTTAACTTTGCAATTCCGAATCTCGTGATTTGTTTAATCAATTCATTATGCGATAAATTAAATAACCCTTTTTAAAAAATTTTTGGTGGTACTTGCCATCGACTCTGCGGTACCTAAAATGATGCGTTATTATTTATTTATTGATTTTACGTTAAACTTAACCTTGAATTGTAATGACAATTGTAAAATGCAGAAAAAATAAAATTACAAATAAGATCAATCTGCAATAACGCAGTGTCGTAATAAGATTTCCTTTAAGAGTATATTCCTATTTCCTAAGATTAAAATATTTGTAAGAGCAAGTTGTTCCAAGGCAAGAGATATACATTATAGATCGTTTTAAACTATTAAGTATTTACATTTTGCATTTCAAATTGCAGACATTTGTATTTTACAGAGAGTAGCTTTAATTTTCAAGCATTAAACAATTAAGATCATATAGTACAGTACTTTTTCAGAAGATTAGCAGCTAATCCAACGGAACCGCTTTCAATGCAGATAAGAGATAAATTGTATGCAGCTTCTTTTTTCAAGTCTGTTGGATCATCTTCATCATCAATAATTTTGCTTATATGATTATTCCCCTTTTAATTATTATTTGAGTAATATACAGACATTTAATAAAATGTAAATATCGAATTTTTTTCTAAAAGGAAATTAAATTACCTTTTCCTGTTCTATAAGAACTTTTTGTAAAGATGGCAGTTCAAGTGCTTTTTTATAATGAGGCACTGCTAAATGCGTTAAGCCTTTTATATGAATAAGCGATTTAATATTATACTTGATTTAATAAGAGAAGTTTTATCAATTCATAAGAGAAAAAAAATCGTACCTAATTGATGAAATGCCCTTCCAAGATTATATTCTGCTTCTTGGTTACGAGCTTTCAACTCATAATAATTATACAAGAATGTAAAGCCCTATTCAAAAGTACATGTTCTGAAAGATTAACACCAGCTGTTAGCATAAATCTCGTTCAGAATAGTTACCTGCATAATCTGCAGATGCCTATTATCGGTTTGTCTCTGCATCGCCCGATGCAAGTACGCAAGTCCGATAGATAAACTAATTACGGGGTCTTTTGGGTTTTCAGCATAAGCACGTGCATAATAACCTGATAAATTGTAATTAATATCATTAATTTTGACCTCGCTACTTCATACCGATTTTCACAATATAAATTTACCAATAGCACCAATATAACTCCTGGCACTTGCTAATATATGACCGTAAAGAGCTAATAAAGCATCGTTAGGTTTTTCCGGAGCATTTGCTTTTTTGTCTCCAGAAGCACTGACATTATCCATTGATTTAACTTGACGTAAAAAATATTTCTGCGAATTTGCTGATGCAAAACATGATAAAGCATTTGAGCCACTAAATCATTTTTTGTTAAATTAATCAATAAAGGTCCAGAAATTTAACGATGATTCAAAACATTGAATTCAGAAAATAACAATATACCTAGCCATGCCTGCTCCATATAATCTATAAACTCTGTTATCAAATGGCTTTAAATTGCATAACCATCTTGTGCTTTCACATACAACTAAAAAGTTGCGAGTGTAAAGCCCCCAAGCTTTTTGTCAAATAAACAGTAAGCATTAATACGTTGTGAAGAAATAAGTCATAAATTCCAGTGCTTACCTAGCAATAATAGCTTAAACCCAGTTTTATATTTACTATTATGATAGAAAACATTGGCTCTAGAAACTGTTCGGAGAACATCAAAAGCTTCTTGTTCATAACCGTATGTAGTGGCAATAAAAATATACTATTATAAGGATTCATCATGATTGTAAAGACATTAAATAGATTGTACAATAGTAAAGCTTAGACAATAAATTTTAAAAGCTTAGAATTTATACTATTGGTTTAAACTACCAAATATATCAAAGTTTACCTTGTTAATTGTTTTAAACGATAACTTACCCTTATGGAAAAGTCGAACCATTGCGCAAATGTTAGACCCTGGAACTCTGTCATTTTTTTATGTATTTCGGCTTCCAATTCACCAATTTCACCATCTACAAGAAGTTACCGTTATTAATAATGTTAACAATAGAAGATAAAAAAAAAATCAGAAATATGTGAAATAGTTCGAACCAATTTGCCATTGTAATCGCTTAGCCATTGTGGTTGCTTGTTCTTCAAGATCTGCATCATCATCATCAGCAGCTTCCGCCCTCAATGCCATTTGTTTCCTCCAACATCTACGACGATCAAAGCCTTTATATGGAATCATCTAGTAATTCCGAACAATTAATAAATATATGCACTACCATTTATAAAAACTTTTTTAAAAAAAAAAATATAATAATGCCTTGTCTCTAGGAAAAAATTGTCTATGATTTTTGAGATCCTCAAATAAAATCCTAGCTGTTTCTAGAAACTCTTCAGCAGATTTTTTGTCACCAGCCCTTAAACGAGTATATAATAATTCAAGCCTATGAAATTGAATTTTTGTCTCCTTTTCTTTTCAGCTTGTTGTCTTTTATGTTCTTCCTGTGTTCTTTGGAAAGCGTTAGCTTTCGTTTCTTCCAATTCATGAATTAGAGATGAATCAACGCTTGGCGGAAATGTTGAGGGAACATCATAGATGTCAAGAGCAGGAGGGCTATTTTGCGCAGTTGATGTCTGTTGTGATTTTATTGTTTCATCCGTCGCTCTTTTAGATTTACGATGCTCGAGAACTTAAATAACCCAGGTAGTTATTATGTGATAACTTGTATCATAATTGTATCAAGATTGTAATTATTAAACTAATCTGTATATACCTAAATTAACCATTTCAAGTGCCCTTTCATTTTCACCTAATCCTTCGTATACTTCAGCAAGAGCCATTTTAGCATCCAAATCATCAGGTAATTCTTCCACCGCTGTCATAAAATTGATAATTATTAACAAGGTAACATAAAACATATATAATTTTTAAATTACCTCACCCGCTTTATAAAATTCTACAGCACTTTGCAAATTTCCTAATTCACGATGACATGCACCCATTCGAAGCCATGCAGTTGCATTATCCGTCTGAAATTTGATAAATTGTAATGTAAATGAC